GGCAGCTCTGAGTTCAAATCCCGACTCTGCCACTCTCTGGTTGTGTGGCCCTACCCAAGTTCCCACACTCTCATGAGGCAGTAAAGGCTCACTGTGTATTTGTGTATTATTGTCATTTTGGCATTCTTAAGATTGTTATAGCCCCATTTATCAGCTACACAACTACTCTGTGCCTCATTTTCTGCACCTGTGCAATGGAAATAACTGCACCTGTTCTCCCTGCGGGGCGATGAGGATTAGGTAGCAAGGTAATTAGCACACCCTGAGCGCCCCATAAACGTCAGTGCATTTTACTTCTGTGTTACTGGCTGTGTGGCTTGAGCACTTGACTTCGCTACTCTGAGCCTCCATTCCCTCCCTCTCCTGTATCTACTCCCAGAACTGAGGATGTTCAATGAGATGATGTTTAGCACACTGTAATGGCCAAACACAGCTCAGCTTCTTATTAATTGTATTTTCTTTTTTTTTGGAGAGGTTTTTGCTATAGGGCGCGTGCGCTCGCCAGAAAGACAGAGAGAAACAGAGAGACAGAAAGCGAGAAATCATCCCCCAGGGGGACTGGCCATGCTGCAATCCCCTCTCCTCCATTCTCCTCTCCGGATCTTGGGCACGCACGCACATGCGTCTGGCATGAGTTTAAGCCACTGGGTCCGGGACTCAAACTGTGGATGACTACATGGGAGTCCAGCAATATAACCATTACACCATCGGCTGGTCCCAGTTTATTCATGATAGTATTATAATTCCTGTTGTGCTTAACCCTCCTTACCAGCTTGTGACCTTGGACAAGCTCCTTAGCCTCTCTAAGCCTTAGCTTCCTCCTGGGGTCAGATGGGAAGAGTCACTTCCTCTCCCGGCTTTGTCCGGATGATGCAATGGCTACATTGGTGCTTTGTTCTCATCAGCTCTGTTACAAATCCTTGCCCTTCTCTGTGCCCCAGTCTCCTCTGTCCTGTGGATCTCATGATCTTGGCCTTATGGGAGGCCGAAGGACAAGGAGAACATACTCCCAGCCTAGTGCCTAACTGGGAAGGTATGGACCACATAGAGACCCTAGCCGGCCCCTGGTGGGGTGGGATGGGGGCTCACCAAGGAGGAGGAACTTGCGTCGGTCTCCATAGAGCTTCAGCAGGCCTGCACAGTAGTCCTGGATGGACAGCCCTAGCCGGTACTCCCGCAGCAGCAGCGCAAACTGCTGGATCTCGGGGGGCCCCAGCTTACTCCGCAACTGTGGGGAACACCATTCGAGATCAATCCCAGGGAGCAACCCTACTCAATCCCTGCTTAGAAGGTCCAGAGCCCTCTCCAGAGGTAGGTTTGGCCCAGCTGTCCTTTCAAAACCCTTCCATGGCCTATTTGGGAGACATCCAGACCTACTGGGCTGTATCTAAGCCATGGACTCAAGCTACCAGAGTTCAAATCCTGGCCCCTTCACTGATTAGCTCTGTGATTTTGGGTAGGTGACAGCCTCCTTGACTCTTGCTTTCCTCGTGCAAAGTGAGGATAATGATGGCACCTCCCTCTTGGCATTGTCAAAAGGATTAAAAGAATGATGGGGGCTGGCTCCATGGAGCAGGGGGTAATGTTGCCACATGGCAACCGAGGTTGAAACGCCTGGCCTGGCCTAGTCAGCCTGAAACACACGAGTTAGGTGCACGAGTGTCCAAAACCCAGCGGGCTGGAGGACTAGCGGAAGGGGCCTGTGTGGTATGAACAGACCCTGTAGAGGGTGCGTCTCTTTCCTGCACACACACGCTATATCATGAATAAAGAAAAAATATTTAAAAGTAAAAAGAAACAATGCATGAAAGGTGCTCATAAAGTGTCTCGTAGGGTCAGCAGGTGGCGTGGTGACCCACATGCACTAGATCCCACATGGCTGACTCTGCGGTTCAAGTCCCAGACCCAGCGGCTTGAGAAACACACTGGGCGTGTGTGCATGTGTGCCGAGAATCCTGAGAGGAGAACGGAGGAGAAGGGATTCTGGCATGGCCATGCCCCCTGGGGAGTGCTTTCTCACTTTTCCTTTCTCTCTCTTTTGTGAGTGCACAACATACCCTATGGCAAAAAAATTTCTTAAAAAAAAAAAAAAAAAGCAGGAAAGCGTCCAGTATGCAGCAAGCACTCAAACTGTGCTACCTGACTTTAGTTAAGGCCTTTGGCGAGCAGGCCTCAGCTGACTCTCCTGACCTCATGTCCACCCACATCTCTCAGGTCTTCCTGTGCTTCGGTTTTGTCCAGGACTGCGCACGATTCCTGAAGTACTCCCACATTTACTCCAGCCTCCAGCCCTTCACTCCTGCTGTTCCCGCTGCCTGGCCCAGCTCACCGTGACCATGTAGTCCTGTAACTGCTCCAGGCCCAGGCCGCTGTGGTCGCTGCTGCTGCAGTGGGAGCCGTGGAAAGAGGGTGTGGATGTGCCGCTGTAACATGCTTCAAAAGTGTCCTGGGAGCCATTGCTGTGGGGACAGGAGAAAAGGGGCCCTCATTTGCCTCCTTCCAGCTCCCCTCGCTGGGGCAGGCCGAAGGCGGGAGGGCACCGCCACTAGTACCCTGAGCCGGCGGCCTCATCTTAGATCCCATTTTGACCTTTAAGGCCCCACATGGTCTGGCTCTGGCCACCTCTCAAGCCTTGTCACTCACTGGCTCCCTCTTGTTCTCTGTGTTCTGGTCACTGTGCCTTTTCCCTTTTCCTCCAACCCTTCAACACCTCCTCACCTCTGGGCCTTTGCACACGCTGTCCTTCTGGCTGGAATGCCTCTCCCCCTACCTTCTGCTCAGCCAACTCTTACTCACCATCAGATCATAAATGTCTCGGCGGGAGAGTGTGCCCTGATCCCACCAGACCCTCTGCCAAATGTGCTCCGTTTGCAGTCTACCATGATATGCAAGGCCTCTGAGATCCTCCCAGCATCATCTGCCAGCCTCTCTCTGCCTCACGCCCTGTGCCGCAGACACAGTGGCCTCTGCCTGATCCTCAGACACACTGAGCTTATCTGGCAGGAACCGTTGCACTTGCTGCTCCGTCAGCCTGGAACACGCTTCCCCCTTTCAGCCTCCAGGTCCTGGATCAAGTGTCAGCACCTCTGAGAGACCCTTCTGATTGCCCGGATGAGGTAAGAGATCCTCAGCCTCCCTCCCAGCACCCTGAGCTGCCATTTGTGGTTTATTACTGTGACTGCTTATTACCATGAAATAACAATTTCATGCCTCCCAGGCTAGATCGTAAACTCGGCAAGAGCAGGGCCCCAGGCTTGCTTTATTTCTCGCGTGCCTAGAACATGCCAGTTATGGGTCTGTCTTATTTTCTGCACACAGTACAGTGCTCAGCACATAGATGTTACTTAATAAATACTGCTTTAAAATGTCAAACTTAGGTCCAGCTGGTGGCATGGTCAAAGGTTAAGGTGGTGGACTCCCACACGGCTGACTGTGGTTCGAGTCCTGGACCCAGGAGTTTGAAATAAGGCCAGTGTGTGTGTGTACATGCCCAAGATCCCTAAAGGAGAGTGGAGGAGAAGAGACTGTGATCTGGCCATCCCCCTGGGGGTGCTTTCTCACTTTCCCTCTCTCTCTGGTGAACACACATTCCCTATAGTAAAAAACTAAAAGAAAAAATACAAATAAAAGATACAGTATAACAACTATTTACAGAACATTTACGTTGTATTACATATTATAATTCATGTAATTATTATAAATTAAACATGATTTAAAGTATATGGGAGGCTATGCATAAATTATATGCAAATACTGTTATTTCATATAAACAACTTGAGCATCTTCAGTAGTATCTGAGAGGGATCCTGGAACCAGACTCCCATGGAATATAACTAAGTGACCAACTTATTAGCACTGGAAATTCCTTATCTTGAGAAACCCCTCATTCCTGAATAAGTTGAGGTGGTTGGTCACCCTAAATAAAACCCTGGGCAATATTCTCAACTGAATTATTGTTTTAAACACTAAATTTTCCAGCCTTTCTTGAAGCTAGTAAGTCATGTGACTGAGTTCTGACCAATGAGTTATAAGCAGAAGATGTCAAGTGGGAATTCTGACAAAAATCTTTAAAGAGGTATGCTACTGTGATGGCTGGAGCTACAGCCACCATCATGATCCATGAGGTGACCTTGAGGATGGAAGAAAGTGCTGATGAGGGTGGGGCAGGAAAAGAGAATTCTGAGCCCCTGATGACTATGAGGCTTTTGCTCTATTTTATGAAAGAGACCCCCCCCAAAAAAAAGTTCTGCCTTATTTAAGTTATTCTTTTTTAGTGTTTTCTATCATCTGGAGACAAACATAGAGTAAAGCAAAGTGATTTTTTGGCACTAGCTATGATTTTGGACTCTGCAAACCAGTGTATCTGGATGACTGGGAGAGAGCCTCGAGGTTATATAGACCTGAGTCTGGGTTCTGGCGTCCCCTGGGCTTCTCGGGGGGTGGATCCCGTCGGCTCACCAGCTTACCTCCTACTCTCAGTGCCCAGTGTCTCAGCACAAGCCCTCTCCTGTGTGGGGCATGGGGGCATGGAGGGGGCAAGGGCGGTACCCACAAGGAGCTGCAGCAGCTGAAGTCCGCATCGTAGGCGTAGGTCCCATCCGTGTGACAGCTCTCACCTGGGACCAGCAGAGAGTGAGCATCAGAGGTGATAAGGCAGGGACCAACACCCCGGCTCCCTAAGCCCCAGCTTCAGCCTTGCCCTGGGGTCTAGTCCTGCCCCTGCCACCAATGCACAGCTGACTTGGGGCAACTCGCCTCCCCTCTGGGTCCTCAGCTTCGCCAGCAGTGGGACAATCTCACGTTTGTGCCTACTGCACTTGGGAATGGCAGATGAGGGAGGAGCACCGTGTACAAAGAACTCGCTCACTTCCTGGCCCTGTTGTCTCGTGTGTCCAGGTCTTACCAGCTGCTCAGAGCTGCTTCCTCATCCTGGCTTCCCAGCTGAGGTCAGTTCCTCATTCTATGTTCCCACAGCACGGGCTGTGGTTACATACTTGTTTCTGTAATTATTTAATAACTGTCAGCCTACCTCAGTGATGCCAACTTTGTGAAGCAGGGCCATGCCTGCTTTTGCTCATTGGTATATCTTGGTGATGGGCACTGGATCTGACATAGAAGGTGCTCAGTAAACATTTGGTGACTGAATGAGTTTGCAGACATAGGTACAGAATGCTCTTTATCTGTCTGCCATCCCTGCAAGAGGCAGTGAACCAGCTTCTCGGTAAGCACAGGGCCCACAGAGGGGAGGGCCAGCAGCCTGCAGCTGCAGCTATGCAAACAGGGACCATGCGACAAGGGGCTGTGACCGCAAGAATTCACTTCATGGCCTTGAAGGTAGGTGGGGAGTGAGGTTGTTGCAGATTGAAGCTTTCAAATCAGACCGATGTGAGTTTGAATCCTGACTCAGCCACTTAGTAGCTGTGTAACCTTGAGCTACTTATTGACTCTTCTGAGCTGTACTAGCCTCAGCTAATAATCAGACCCATTCAAAAATATGTCTCTCTCTCTCAAGCATCTGCGATGTACCCAGTTCTGTGCTAGGCAGAGGGGATGCAGTGGCAAAGAGGACAGGCAAGTTGCCATGAGGACTAAATAAGGTCTGGCTCACTGATGTGCGTGGCACGTAGTCGGTGCCCGGTAGATGCCTCTGCTAGTCTCTTTCCCATCCCAGCCCTTGATTACAATGAGAGATTGGCCTGGAAATGGTTTTGACCTGGAAGCCTAGTGGAACCAGAAAGCTCAGTAAGCAGACGAAGCATGTGCTTAGGGGTCTGCAAAGCAGAAACGTCAAAATAAAAGAGAGAAAGTTCAGCTGTGAAGGGCTCCTTCTGAAGGTGGTGACCCAGTGCCTGCAAAGAAGCTAGGAAAACCACCATCTTATCTTACCCTACCTATCACAGTACACTATAACTGTAATAGCAACCAGGACCCCTCTAGGCCTTCATCAGCCCCGAGCCCTGGGGCATCCTCTCTCCCCCAGGCTTAGGGGTGTTTTGCAAGAGGAGAGGCCAGGAGGGGAGTACTCACTGCGGCTGCACAGCCATGGCCGCTCGGGTGTGGATGTGTAGTGGTAGCCGGCCCTGTCCACACACTCAATGCTCTGGTCCCCGTAGATGATCTGGAAGACCTGACAGATGAGCGCACAGGACTCCTCGGCGGCATCCTGGCCCAGGGAGGAGAGAGAACTCAGGCCTTGCTGATGATCGGGACATCAAATCTCTCTGCTTCCTCAAACACAGTGTGGTGAGGCTCACGGAGACACACACCTGCAACTCCTTTAAATCAACTTTGAGGATATTTCTCATCAAAATTAAATGACTGCTCTCTGGGTCTTGGGATCCCTTTATAGAATTCAGTGACAATTCTGATTCCTTGGCCACGAAACATGCATCCCAGAGTTCTGGGAGATTCGCAGACCCTCTTGAAGCTTATCTCAAATAAACCCTAATCTAATGTAATGCACAGCTATGGATGCTGAGGCACATGGCAGTAAGTTCTTACTCGCACCCAGGGTTTTAGACTCTAACTCCTGTACCCTCCTTGGGGTCTTGCTGCCACATATAAGAAGCCAGAGGCTCAGATCCCTCTGGGAAGTGCTCTTCATTTATTTACTCATTCCGCAAAGTCTTATTTATTGTGTGGCAGACACTGGGCCAGGTTCCGTACTCAAAGCCTTCGCAGTCCAGTGAGATAGACAGGGCACATTGTTGCCTCTGTCTGGGATCCAATTTCCAGGCTCTTCCCTCTGCTGGCTCCTTCCCATTTCAGTTAAAATATCACAAACTCACTCTCTCTTCTGAAAATGCATTCCCTTCCCCCTTCTTTATCTGCAACCTGCTTGTTTTTTTCTTGGTCTCCTTGGCAAACTGTAATATCACATTTAGTTTATCTGCCCCTGCAGCATATTTATTGAGCACCTGTTAGGTGCCAAGCACTGTTCTAAGGAGCTGGGGGTAGCGCAATGATACACTCAGAACACGCAGGTCTCTCGCACTCTTCAGGGAGGTCAGTCTGGCTGAAATGGATGAAGAAAGAGAGTAAAGAGAGGTGGGAGGAAATGGGATGGTGCTTAGAACATGGTGGCCTTATTGGCAATTGTAAAGATATGGGCTTCTACCCAGAGTGCCACAGGGATTTGGAGCAGTGACATGATGTGACTTATATGTTTACAGGACTGCTCTGTGTGAGAGGTCAGACTGTACGCAAGGGCTGGCCCAATGAGGAGGGCTGACCACACAATCCAGAAGAGAGGAGAAGAGGCACGTACCTGAGTGGGGACAATGGAGGGCAAGGAGAAGTTGTATTTTGGTTATAAATATATGTATTTTTTTAAACAGGTTTTTGCCAGGACCATCAGATAGTGTAATGTTTATGTCGCTAGACTCCCAAATGACCAACCGCGGTTCAAATCCCAGACTTGGTGGTTTGAAACTCATGCCAGGCATGTGTGTATGTGTGCCCAAAATCCTGAGAGTGGAGGAGAGGGGATTGTGAAATGGCCATCCCCTTGGGGAGGCGGTGATTGCTCACCTTCTGTCTCTTTGTTCTTTTCAGTAAGTGATGCACCCCTATAGCAAAAATCTCTCTTTTTTTTTGAGAAGTTTTTGCCTTTAGGCACGTGCACTCGCTAGAGAGAGAGAGAGAGAGACAGTGAGAGGGGAAGAAAGAAATCACCTCCAGTAGGGATGACCACACCACAATCACTTCTCCACTCTCTCCCCAGGATCTTGGGCATGAACACACACATGCCCAGCATGATTTTGAAGCCACCAGGTTTGTGACTCAAACCCTGGTCAGCCATGTTAGAGTCCAGCGACATAACCACTATGCCATCTGCAGATACTGCAAAAAATCTCTCTTTAGAAAAAAAAAGAAAGAGGTTTTTGCCAAGGGGGCACATGTACTTCCTGGAGAGAGATAAAGAGACACAGAGACAGTGAGAGGGAAAGTGAGAAGTCAGCCCCCAGGGAGCATGGCCACACTGCAATTCCTTCTCCTCCCTTCTCCTCCTGGGATTGTGGGCACGCTTGCACATGTGCCTAGCATATGTTTCAAGTCACCGGGTCCAGGACATGAACCGTATTCAGCCATGTGGGAATCCAGTGACATAACCGCTGTACTATCCGCTTGCTCCTGTTTTGATTGTATTTTAAACGAGGGCCAACAGAATTTATTGGCAGAGTGGATATAGATTGTGCGCATGTGCAGCGTGTGTGTGTGTGTGTGTGTGTGTGTGTGTGTGTGTGTATATGCATGGTTATGGACAACATAAGGGTGAGAATGTCACTAATCAAGACAGGGAGACCCAAGGAATAGCAGGTTTGGGGGAGAAGCCTGGGAACTCAGCTTTTGGGTGTGTGAGGTTTGAGCCGGAGAGGCTGAGTGGAGGTGTGATTAGAGAGGAAATCTAGGGAGTTCTCAGTACTTTAACAGCCAGAGACCAGCGATCTCCTAGAAGTCACCAGAGGCAGAGGAGAGAAGACCATCAAGGGCGAAACCTGGGACGCTCCAACTTTAAGAGGCTGGAGAGAAGAGGAGGAACCAGCTTCTGAGGAGGAGCCGGGGAGGTAGGCAGGCATCTTGGAGAACACGGAGGGCTGGAAGCCAGGTGAGAATGCTTTTCATGCCTGTTCGTTCACTACTGTTCATACACGGAGAATGCTGGTAGTCCCGGGTCAGAGGAAAAGCTTACAGGGCTTGGGGTCACAGGGGTCTATTAGACGGTGAGCTCCCTAAGAAAAGACACCAAATGTCTTGTTCACGTCTCTGTCATAGCACTAGCCCCTGCCTAGCACATAGTTGGCACTCAGTGAACATGATCAAGTGAGTAAAAGCAAGAATGAATGTAGAAGATGAGGGAGGGAAGGTGAGAACAGCATTACGGCTTCTTTCTTCTGCCTTAGTGACCCCCTTAGTTATCAAGACTACTGACTCTGAACTTGAGCCTGAATCTTAAAATTACTACTTGCAGGGCCAGCCCATGGCGTGGTGGTTAACGTGCTGGACTCCCACATGGCCAACTGTGGTTCAAGTTCTGTACATGGTGGCTTGCTTTCTCACTTTCCCTCTCTCTGTCTCTCTCTGGTCAAATAAACAAAAACAATGATAAATTAAAAATTCTTTTTTTAAAAAAAATCTCTGCTTGCTTCCTGCACGACCTCGCATAAATCACTGAACCTCCTAGTCTGCTTCCTTCTCTATAGAATGGGGGCAATGGTAGTATTTGCCTACAGGAGCTGTGTCCTTATGCCCATTAAGCGGTGGTGCCAACACTGACAACATGGGAGCAGGCACAGGACTGGAGGAGGGGGTTATAGCAAGTCTGTTCGAGTCATTTCATGTTTTTGTCTCATTGGGAGAACTAGGGGGAGGTGTCCTGGAGGGGTCCTTCTGCTGGAGTGTAGAAGCCCTTCGGTGGCATGGGCACACTTGAAGTCCTGGGTGAGGTCGGAGGAGGGAAAGGGAGAAGGCAGAAGCAGACCCCAGGAACCTTGTAAATAGAGGGAGTGAGGTCTCCGGGGCAGGGCGAGGGAGGGGGTGGGGCGCGGGGTGCCCTCGGGCTCACCCTGTTTGCCACAGCCAGGATGACCAGGTTGCAGTAGGCGTCCGGGCTGGGGTCCTG